GGACTGAACTGGACTGGCTGGTACCGACAGAAGTACCGGCCTGGACTGGACTACCCCGAATACAACACAGGCCTGTCGGAACAGGGCAAGGGGCTGGTCTCACAGGCCAACCAGAGGTCCACTACACTGATGCACTCGACACCGCGTTACTGTTGATAAAGCTTTTGCCCCATCATCCGTGGCATTCCACAAATTTTACTTTTTTATTGTCAACAGTGAAATCTTAAGAGAATCAACATCTGAACGGTGAATAGAGTCGCCTTTACATCCCCTACTACCTCATGCAGCCCGATTAACAAGTGACATCCCCTTTCTAAAATTACTCTCCTTAATTAGCATTTAAAATTTTAAATCAAGGATACATGAGATACCACACATGCTACTTTTTACAATCCAACGGTGACAGGGTCGCCTGAATGGTAATAGGGTCACCTATTTATCCCCTACCAGCTCATCCAGCCCGATTCACAAAAGACATCCCTTGTCCGAAGCTACCCTCCTTAATTAGTTTTCCCGGGACCTGAACGGTAATAGGGTCGCCTGTTTATCCCCCCCCCCCACCTCATCCGACCCAATTGACAAACGACATCCCCAGTCTGAAGCTACTCTCCTTAATTAGTTTACACCCCCCCCCCCCCCCCCCCCCTCCCCCCCCCTCCTAAACAAGGAATCACAGAAACTCAAACACCATCTGCTTCCCGGTGTTTGGCGCATGAGCAGGACGGCTGCACCTTTCGTTTTTTCAAAAAAACAGCCAATTGGCCGCTACCGTCCAGTCAGCCATCCGCCCACCACTGGGGCTGGTCAGCCAGCTCAGCTGTCTGCTGATATGCTACCCTGTGGGCCAAATAAGAAACACCATTGTAAATTCAATGTGAACCAACACACGCGCATTCAACACAGTCTCCAATGCAGAATTCACCTGGAGGATGACCAGGTGCTCAGAGACGAGTACCAGCAGGAACTGAATGTCGAATTCACGTGCAGGACAAGATGTTGCACAGATGCGAGTGACAGGTATGTATACCTGACAGTGGCCGTCATGGCTCTTAAACTTGTGAACATGACGAGTTGTGTGTGCATGATGAAACATGTGTGGTAAATAGCTACCACATAGATAGCCATCCATTAAAATATGAGTCTGACTGGTGCACCTTTGTCCTATACAACATGCATCCTTGTATCATGTTATGCAATCAGACTTGCTTTCATTCACACTTTACATGCATGCAAACAGTAGCGCGGCAGACGAAAGGCCACTACTCAGACCTTCCGGAAGGCCGTGGACTTGGCCTTTCGGTACTGTAGCGGCTACGACTTTGACCTTTCTGGACTGTAGCAGCTAGGACTCTGACTCTTCGGGAAGGCTACAGCTACAACCTTTAGACCTGACTAGGACTCCTATCCGACAGGTCCACAGATCGAACCCATGCTACCTTTGGACCCTATGACAACCTATCGACTGTTAAAAGTACACAGGTCGCGGGTTCCACTCTACGGGTCGACACAGGTACTGTACACAGGTAAGGTAGGGCTAGGGATCGAGCCCTGCGATCTGCATCAGCTACTGCGAACTGGTGAGTACCGTTTCAGTTATGGCCATGCTCAGCAGCTCACTATTCTCGCATACGGATTCTCAACATCATGTCATGCACTGCTGCGTCAGATGTTTGTCATGTGGCATGCCATCATTACACAAATTAACATTGCCCCATCCGATTGTCATCATGCTGATGCTTTCTGTGATCTCTTCATCATGCGCTCACAACTTTTTTATAACACTTTTTCACGTTTTTCCTGAGTACGGACGCCGCCCGGCCGGGCGGACCCAGGTGGGCCGCCCGGGCAAACCGGGCAGGCAAAAAAACAGCCCAGAATTTTTTTTAATTTGTTTTTGAAGGTGGGGTCCTCCTGTGCTCAGCGAGAGGACCCCGAATCTGCAATAAAATTCTGGTTTGGGGGTGGGACGATTTGCCCGGGTGTGAGGCGTGGGGGGGGTGG